ACCCTGCTCAGACCTGCCCCAGTCTCCAGACATCTATAGGAAAACACCACTCAAATAGATCTATTGGCATTTTCCTGTCTAGTAAGCATCTTTGCATATAAATATTGACAATCTGTATGTTTTTCTTATATAATCTGTTCAAGTCATTTGTTTTTGAATTGGACAATTTTTTTTGGGTTTTTTGGCTTTTTGAGACAGGTTTTCTCTCTGTAGCTTTGGAGCCAATCCTGGCACTCACTCTGGAGACCAGGCTGGCCTTGAACTCACATAGATCCGCCTGCCTCTGCCTCCCGAGTACTGGGAAAATTGGACAATTTTTGTTGAGTTGCAGTGATTCTTTCAATATTGATTTTAGATATTAATCTCTTATCAGTTCCATGCTTTACACGTATTTTCTTCCGTTCTGCAGGTTGTCTTCATACTCTCTGAATAGCATCCTTTGATAGGCTTCAATTTTTGTATGGCTCTTGATTTAAGGATGGTCATAGTCCACCCACCAAAGTCCTCTGCTCTAGGTTTTTAGATTTAAAATAAAGTGATTCTGACCAGTTTACTTTTTCATTTTTCAATTCACAATTAATCATAAGTTTATAAAATACATTATATATTTGTTACTTTGTATTTAAAGGACTGAAATTTTTCAATCTGAATTATACCTTTTATTTTAATACTATGAATCTACAATTACAACAGTTCATTCACATCCTGACAAGGTGATGTTTGCATGCAACAAAACAACAATTACGAGGCCAGGGACCCACTTTTGATTGTAGGATTGCCATCTGACTCAGATACCCTGTTGAGGGCACAATAAATATATGACAGAAAGGTCATGCTTTAAAAATAGGATCTCTGGTCCTGCCTGCTACATGATTGCTTGTGTTGAGAGACAACAGAACAAGGAGGCTAAAAGCATGATCTAAAGAAGACTGTTCAAATCTGGTCTCTGCCACTTCCTAGTTATGGAGCCTGGACAAGTTTGCCTAACATCTCCTCCTATGTAAAATGATGATCAACATAGCTTGCATATGCAAAATTTTGCATAAAGTTGTAGGAATTGGTAAAATTTCTAAAGTGCTAGGAACATTAGTTGAGACAAAATAGAAACTACCAAATTCTAGGTAAATTTCATTAAGTTAGTGTGAAAGGAACCAGTCTGCTAAGTTTTTCATCAATGCATTTATTATTGATGCATAATTCATTAATATAGTCCACTATAATAAATAAATATTTGTGATCTGACAGCCATTTAGAATTATTTCATTTTAGAATTACTATGGAATGGGTTTTTATTTATTTTCTGTTTGGGTTTTTAATTGTTATTGTGTGTTTTGTTTTGTCTTGTTTGAGATAGAATCAAGCTATGTATGTAGCTCAGCATAGCCTCAAAATGCTGATTCTCCTTAGCTTTAGTTTTCTCAAGAAATATATAAAATATAAAGCTGCAAGATGCTGCAAACACCTTGTCCTCAAAAGAACTTCAGAAAGGTTTTCAAGATGACCTCAGTACATTGTAATGTGTGCAACTAGAGAAGGACTGCTCTCTGCTCACCTGCAGCAAAGTGGCCTCTGGGGGACACACAGAGGTACACAAAGAGATACTGAAGTTGAGACCTAGGGCCCTTAAGCAGAGACCCCTGGGAAAACATGGATGGCATTAAAAAGGGCAATGTCTGGAGAGTATTCAGCTAGAAGGGACTATATTGTCAAAATTAGAAGTAAACATTTAGTATAACACATCTACTTGCTTATTTCCCCTAAAGTAATTTTTATAGATTTTTTAGGATTTTGTTTATTTATTATGTATACAGTCTTGTGTCTGCACACTAGCAGAGGGTACCATATCTCATTCAAGGTGGTTGTGAACCACCATGTGGTTTCCGGGAATTGAACTTAGGGCCTCTGGAAGAGCAGTCAGTGCTCTTAACCGCTGAGCCATCTCTCTAGCCCCTGAAGTAATTTTTCACTGTCACAATTATAAAAGTCAACTATATTCTAAGATGTTATGTCACTTATAATGCAAAGTCTTGTACGTTACTCAATCCAAAAGAATCACAAAAAGAACACAGCTATCAGAATTCAATAGTAGTAGTAGTAAGTAAATCAAGATACTGTTACAAGCAAGAATTATCTATTTTCTCCTTTTAAGTTTATTCTTGTTAGCTTTTGTACCCTCTGAATTTTGATTATTAGCACTTCAATATTAACTCGGATATGAGGAATTCCTGTGAGGAGAAGGATCGTGGAATGCTGGGAGTTTGAAGAGATTGAAGGAGCCACAGATAGCTAAATCAGACTTTATTTATTGGCACCCAGACCACCAAGCAGGCAGATGGCAGCAGGTACCCAGACATATACCAACACATATGGGCTTCACAAAAATGGCCATAAACATACACAGACCAGCACATGGACCACAGTGGAGCTAGGCACACACAGGACTACAGAGAGCCAGGCTGCTGAAGATGAAGTCACTTACCTCTGACCACAAGGCCATATTTATCACATAAAAGTGGCATTTTATAAGAAATAATTATACAAAATTACACCACTGCTGACTTCGGGGTTCCTCAGACATCCAGCATCAGACATTTTATTCTAACTCATAGTCCCCTTGATATCCAGGGTTAGCCATCTTGGCCAATGCCTGATATCCATTATCGGCACCCTGTTGTCTAAATATAAAGAAACCCATTTGGCTTTCCATACCCTCCAAGGACTGCCATGTCTGGTGTGTGATTGCTGGGTGTGAAGGGGTGAGAAGATGAGACAGAGACCACAGGTTCTCACTGGCTATCTAGCAACTATTCTAAATTTGTTTCCTAATTCCGCAAATACTTGCATAGTCTTTCCCATCTATTAGGAGCTTCCCTAGGAAACTAACAAATATCAATTTACTTAATCCTTGCTTCAGTTCTGTGAGGTAAACACCACAGTTCTTCTAACTACAAGCCTGAGTGAATGTGCATTTACATCAAGAGAAATACAAACTTCATAAATAGACTTGCTTTCCTCTCTAGCCGCTCCCTTGCCCCATGAGCAATACCTAAACATTGGCCTCTTATATTCAGTATCACCTTTTTGCTTGTGTTTCTGCCTTTACACAAAATATTCTCTCCGCCTAAACATGGCTGCCTGTGAAAACCTTTCTGAAGGAAATTCAAGAAAGCTAACCCTTGTACTTAGATGTATCTTTTTTTTTTTTTTTTTTTGATTTTTCGAGACAGGTTTTCTCTGTGGCTTTGGAGGCTGTCCTGGAACAAGGTCTTGAACTCCCAGAGATCCACCTGCCTCTGCCTCCCAAGTGCTGGGATTAAAGGCATGCGCCACCACTTTTAAACAGTACCCCCTCATTCCCAAATCTACTTCAGCTCCCTTCAGATACACAGTAACTTTAAACAGACAGCAATACAGAACAGCAATGTATACACATTTCCATTAGTAAATAAACCACTTACGGACTCACTTGTGTGAACTCCTTTTAGGTTCACACAAGCTTTGTGATTGCTCATTACCCACTGTATTTTGTGGTGGCACACACCTTTAATCCCAGCACTTGGGAGGCAGAGGCAAGTGGATTTAAGTGAATTTCAGACTAGCCTGGACTACAAAGTGAGTCCCAGGACAGCCAGGACTGCTACCAGAGAAACCCTATTTCAAAAAACCAAAACAAAAAAAAATGTTGAAAAAATGTATTTTTATAAAGAGAAGGATTTTGTTTGCTTGTTTTTGTTTGTTTAGAGGGGTTAGTCTTTTGTTTTGGTTTTTCAAAACAGGGTTTCTTTATGTAGCTTTGGAGTCTGTCTTGACACTCAATCCTTAAACGAGGGTAGCCTCAAGCTCACAGACATGTACACCTGCCTCTGCCTCTCAAGTTCTGGGATCAAAGGCATTTGAAAGACAATGTTTTTAAAGACAAAATAGTAACAGCAATCTCATGGTTCAGTTGGTGGCTCATGTTTGATCTGGTCAAGTGACACCCCCTCCCTGTCCCCTTTCACCGCTGCCTCTTTCTCTTCTCACACTCCTTCCCCTCTTCTCCCTCCCCCTTCTCCAGTTCCTCTTCCTCACTCTGACCCTCTCTTCTCTCCCTCTACCTACCTCCCTCTTTCCCAACCTCAATAGATCCGGGTCTTTGCCTACTTCCGATCTAGGAACATAACATTCCTTTCTCCCTAAACAAGACCAAAAGTACTGTGAAGTCTGTCTGGTATTTATTGTAAGGAAGCCTAAGATAGTCAAAAGATGGCAAGAGGGAGGGGGGAGATGGTTTGTTGAGTAAAGTGCTTGCTGAGCTAGTTTAAAGATGTCCAGCACCCACAAAAAGACGGGGCACGGTGGCAGGCGCCCGTGATCCCCAAGCTGTGAGGTTGCTAACAGCCAGTCTTGCAGAAATGGCAGGATTCAGATTCCTGTGTGAGAAAGACATACCTATACCAACCACAGGAGTGCCTGGCAGGAACTAGGACATACGCCTGCACGAGACTCATGGGTAAAATGGGTCTGATTAGTGTGGATTAACATCTATGTAAAGTGACTTCCGGGGAGTTCATACTGCTTTGAATCAACTTGACAACCTGCCTGATTTCAGAGAAAATGGAAATAAAGACACCAAGCCCTTTCATGCTCTTGGCCTCACCCACTAAGACTCCTAAGGGGATTGGAATGTACAGGAGGAACTTGGACATGTTCTCTGGTTCCCATAGCGCGCGCACGCGCGCGTACACACACACACACACACACACACACACACACACACGCAAAACAACTCAGTAGGCAAGGGACCCACGAGGACAGTAGCCGAGGGGCAGAGGTACAGCAGATGGGAGCCAGGGACTGTGAGGGGAAAGGCCTAGGGGATAAAATATTAAAGGTGTGGGGTGGCAGGTCAGAGGGCATGGGAAATTAGGGACAGCGCAGGTTAGGCGTGCCAAAGTGACCACCAGAGCCAGCAGGGCATGAGCTGAGACAGGCGGGCAACGCATGGGGTGCAGGCTCACCTGCGTTCTGTAGCGTCTCGATGTTTTGGGGTCTGGTCGCCAGCTCTGCCACCATCTGCACGAATTGCGTTCGGGCTTTCTGGTACTGCTCGAACACTAAGGAGAGAGACCCGGTGGAGCCGTTCCGTGGCCGGCAGCCCCAAACCCTCCCGAATGCCCGCCTGCCCTGGCCATACCTTGAAGCACCTGCCGCTGGCTCATGGCGCAGCTGGTCCGCCAGGCGCAGCTGGTCCACAGATAACAGGACCTCCGCCACCTCCCAGTCTGCACTAGGATGCGTCCCTATGTGTATCTGTCTCCAGGGCAACCGACCCAAACCGGATGCAACCGCCAGCGAAGGTCGTGACGTCACGGCCAGGGTGTCGGAGGCGAGCACACAGTGCAGACACCTCACGTTCCCTGCGTGTAGCACCTACCTAGAGGCGTGGGTTGTTGTTGTTGTTGTTGTTTAAGCTGGAGACTGTCAGGAGGATAGAGTCCTTTACACACCACCCCAGAGTGGCTGGTGTGGCGCCTACAGGTGCGAGCGCTGGAGTTTTGGGAGCAAACTGTAGCAGGGGCTGTCAAGAACAACCAACCAAGTTTGTCAACCACGTATAATACGATCGATACAGTATTGTGAAAGCACCCTTAACTCGGTGTTTTCTTTTTAGTGTATCCCTGGTACACATGACATTTTTGATGTCCGAATTTCTGAAGGCTCACAACAACTGAATAGTTAATTACACTTAAGATAGCAAGTATCCGAGAGATTCATTGGGGAAAGGAGAAGAGCAGATAATGTAATTAATATCTTACGGTCCAGGATTACTTTTAATTAGCAACAATTTTGTTATCTGCGTTTCTTTGGGCATTTTGTTTTTAAAGTCGAGCTTCATTTTGTGGCTGCGTGATGTTTCCAAAATGGGATGGGGGCAATATATCGAGCTCAAAATGGCTCGGTTTCTTTTTCTTACTTACTAAAACATTATTCTTTGAAAGTTTTACACATGTATAAAACGTAATGATTTTAAGTCATATACAGTAGTGCCTCACACAGTGTCTTAAACTGGCCAAGTAGGAATAAGATCAATTTCAGACATATTTCAGGTTAAATGTCCTTTTTAAAAAAAAAGAGGGGGTTGTTTGCATTCTCACACAGTAGATCACTCTGTGTGTGTGTGTGTGTGTGTGTGTGTGAGAGAGAGAGAGAGAGATAGAGAGAGAGAGAGAGAGAGAGAGAGAGAGAGAATGTTTCCCCAGCTCCATTCCATTCATTTGCTTGCTTGCTTGCTTGCTTGTTTGTTTGTTTGTTTGTTTGCTTGAGACAAGATCGCTCTACATGCTGCTCTGGAATTCACTGTGTAGGCCAGGCTGGCCCTGAACTCATAGATATCTGCCTGCCTCTGCCTCCCAAGTGCCACCATGCCCAGCTAACCAGAACAGCTCTTAACTGAGAAAGTCTCTGGTTTCTTTCTTTTTTCTTTTTTTTTTCTTTTCTTTTTTTTTTGTTTTTTTGTTTTTGGTTTTTCTTTTTTTTTATAATTCTGAAATTTTATTTTTTTTGAGAAAGTTACTTTGACCTCAATACTGTTTAACTATTTACTCATAATTGATCCTGTCTTTTTCATTAAGTATTGTCTCAACATTTGATAATTATTGATGAGAACGTTTTGAAGTCTTGGTGTGTGTTTGGCAGAACAATTTTGAGACCTCATTAGTTATTACTATTGGTTGTTGTAAGTGTTTTTCCTTATTCCAAAAGGTTGGATTTCATAAGTTCTACTGTTTTTGTTTGTTTGTTTGTTTTATTAGTTCTAGTTAGGGAACAATCTTATTTCAAGTCCCTTCTCCCTCTCCCTCCCCTCACCCCCAAACTTCCTCGCCCACATCCGGCCCACCCCCCCAACCCATTCACCCACCACTCCCCAGGCAGGGGAGGGGCTCCCTGGAGTGCAGAGGCCTCCTTATTGACATCCATGTTCAGGGGTCTGGATCAGTCTTGTACGGGCCTCCTGGACAGCATCTGGGGTCGATGTGCTCTCCCTTGTTCAGGTCAACTGTTCCTGTGGGTTTCTCCAACCTGGTACAGACCCCTTCGTTCTTTATTCCTCCCTCTCTCCAACTAAATTCCCGATTTCGGCTCATTGTATATCTGTGGATGTCTGTCTCTGTTTCCATCAGCCACTGGATGAGGGCTCTAGGATGGCATAAAGAGAAGTCATCAATCTCATTTTAGGGGGAGGGTTTTTAGGTTATCCTGTCCACCGTTGCCTGGATTGACAGATCGTGTCATCCTTGTAGGTCTCTGGAGATCTCCCTGGTTCCAGATCCCTTCTCGGGCCTATAGTGGCTCCCTCTGATATAGTATCTCTCATCCTGCTCTCTTTCTTCTATTCTTCCCCCAACTCAATGTTTCTGCCCCTCCATTTCCTCTCTTCTCTTCTCTTGCTCTTATTGTAGCAGCTCCTTTCCCCCCAACACTTGTTTTTGGTTTTTCAAGACAGGGTTTCTCTGGTAGCTTTGGAGCCTATCCTGGCACTCGCTCTGGAGATCAGGCTGGCCTCGAACTCACAGAGATCCACCTGCCTCTGCCTCCCAAGTGCTGGGATTAAAGGTGTTCGCCACCAACACCCGGCTAAGTCTCTGGTTTCTTTTAACAGAGCATATGCACCACACTTCGTCTATCTACCATTGGTTTCTAGCTTCTTTTTGAAAAATGTGTACCAAATATTTAGTTATATGTGTCTAAATATCTCTCCATCTGAAATCCCAGCTTCACCAGATGTCAAAATGGGCAGATAGCGCCCACTGCTTCAGAGTGGTGGCAAGACAGGAAACCCCTGGCCATCTTGTCTAATAGAGGGAGTGTCTGTTTCTCATCTTTGGAATCCTCTCCAATAGCTTTCTTGATGAAATGCTAGTATTTGATGGTGCTTCCAAAGTAGTTGGGGACAGTGTACACTCTGAGGGAAAAGGCTTTACCAAAGGGAGCATTATAGCTCTGAAGGCAAAGGCTTCCCCAATAGGTAGTGTTAAACTCTGAAGGGGAAAGGTATCCTGACAGTGGGGAGCCAAGGAATACCACAAAGTCACACAGCACAACAAACCTCACACAGGAAATTTATTTGGAGGGAAAAACACAGAACAGTGGCTGCCTCTGCTCAGGTGAGAAACAGCAGAGACCGGAACAGAAGACAGGGTTTATGTAATGTTTCTTGTGGGTGGAGCTTTCCAGGGTGGGAATTGGTGGGTTTTCAAGTCTTTTTTACTCTGTAGGGTGGAGCCTGGCAGTTAGAGGTCCTCAGGGGCAGGACCTGGCCACTAGCAAGCCTCAAGGGACTTACATTCATCCCTTTTTTGTCTGCTATTGATAAACAATCAGGGGTTGGGAAAGGGGCAATGTTATCATTATACTTCCTGTTGAATGGTGGTGTCAAAGTCCTTGGAAACTTGACCTTCACCATCAGGCTATAATCCAGCCTCTGGCTCCATAGCTGGGATCCAGTAACCCTGCAATGGCAATTGATTAAAAGTCTGGTTAGAAATCTTTTGTATCTGCCAGGCATTGGTGGCGCACACCTTTAATCCCAGTACTGGGGAGGCAGAGGCAAGTGGATCTCTGTGAGTTCGAGGCCAGCCTGGTCTCCAAAGCGAGTGTCAGGATAGGCTCCAAAGCTACACAGAGAAACCCTGTTTCAAAAAACCAAAAAGAAAAAGAAAAGGAAATCTTTTGTATCTGTTGTTGAAGAAATTTAGACAAGTTTATAAGGCAGTGTAAGCATTGCAGCTTAGATGGGAAAGTATCCTGGAAGTCAGGAGTCAAGAAATACCACAAAGTCACCAAACCCACAGCGGCTTATATTCCTGCTCCAGGGAAAGGTTTCCCCAGTTTAACAGCTCTGCTCCTGCAGGGGAGTTTCCCCGGCGAAGTTGTTACAGTTTTGCTCCAGCTCCCTGGAGTGTATCCACTAGGGGAAGGTTTCCCCCAGCAAAAGTGTTACAGTTCTGCTCCACGCTGCTCAGCTCTGGCTCTGGAGAAAGTTATAATGGCTGGGCTTCACTCCAGTGAAAATGTAAAACCTCACTTAAGAGATTTATTGGGAAGGAAGGATCCAGAGGGTGGCTGTCTTGGGAGAGAAACAGCAGCAAACTGAACAGGTTACAGACCTTATATAGGACTTGGGGGGGGATGGAATTCCAGGGTGGTTTGGGATTGGTGGATTTTGGTGGTCTGATTCTGGGATTGGTGTCATTTTTGAGCTCAGGGAATAATGATGGGATTCCCTGTGCTCAGGGATTGGTAGGGTTTTGTGCTCAGGGACCTCAGAGACTGGTGGGATTTCAATCCCCATTCCCAAGTCAGGGTCAGGGTGTTTTTCCTTGGCCCTTTTCATCCTAGAGGCAAGGCATGACTAGTAGGATTAAGAGAAGGATGAGAATTTGGGTTAAAAATTCCATATTCCTGTCCATATAAGCCACTGGTCAGAGGCATTGAGTAGTTTTCTATGAGTTTATTTGGGGGGGGGGTGTTTGGTTTGGTTTTTTGTTTGTTTTGTTTTTTGTTGTTTTTGTTTTGTTTTTGGAGATCTGTCTGGAGTTGTCAGATCTTGTCTTTTACTATACCTGGCTGGTTGATGTAGAAGCAACATTCCTCCCTGGGAAGATGATTACATTTGTAATATATATAATACTCGCCGATTTTTTAGTACTAGGGCAGCCAGTGAGTCTATTTGGCCTTGGAGGGTAGAGATGATCAGAGCTACCCACTGGAGATTCTGGATGAACTTAGATGAAAACTGATGGTTAATAACTAGAGAAATAGTCAGTGCCGCTGCTCCAGTGGCATGCTAGCAATTACACCCAGGTCTGTAAGGGAGGTAAAAACTTAACCATTCATTTGTCATGTGCCACTATAACCCCTGTAATGGGAATAAGCAAGGGTTCTTCACCAGGTACCAATCCTAATTTTGGAAAAATGAATGTCAGGGCATGAGTCCCAGACCACCCAGCAGGTAGACAGCAACAAACCTGAGTGTTGCAGAGGATGGGGCACTGTGAACTTTTGGACATCGGGGCTGGGTGGCAATGCTCAAAGTCATGATATTACTACAGTGTGACCATTAAGTTGTCCCTGAAAAGTTAAGACAGTCTGTGATACTGAAAAGGAGATATGGGAAGATAAGAGGTGGCAGTGGTATTTGATTCAGAGCAGTTAATAA